TAATAAACTAATTTATTTTACTATAAGTAAAAAAGTATGTAGAATTAATTTTCTCAGATATACTTTAAAAGTTTCAAGTACCTGCCTACAAATAATATTTTTAAATCATTATTTATTATTACTTTATTATGAATTTCTAAAACTTAGACAATTTCCTTGATTTTGACAATGTTTGTCAAAATTATAACTTCAGACATTAACATATTTGAAAGTATTATGTCAGTAGGATACCACTACTAAAACTGTCCTGGAAAAAATTCAATAAATATTTCCATAATATGCACATATGTACCAACTGAATTTTCTATGAAGGTAGACGCTTTTTATTAGGATTTTGCCCGAACTTAGGATAAGCTACCAGATAATGAAATTAAAGATGTGTTGGGGTACTTMGGTGATTTAAATATCAAATGTAGATGTGCGAAACAATTCTCCATTACGATAGGAAATGAAAACCTGTATGAGATAAGTTATGAGAATGGAATTATATTATTGTAATTTTTGAAAAGTAATAACATTATAGTAGAAGCACGACGTTCGCACGTCAGAAAATCTATATACATTCACGGATTTAGCCAAACAGTGAACAAATTAATCAAATAAATCACAGTCTGATCACATGAAACTAGGGCAAATAAACAAACGCTGAAAAGAATACCTAATTTAACGAATAACTGATTGCGTAGATGCCACAAAACTCAATATGAATTCAATGATACTAAAAAATGAACAAATTTTAAATGAAACGACACCAAAATAATCAAACTGATTTATACTAAGGCTATGCAAAAGGATTTCTTTGATGAAATTGGTTCTATCAAGCTGAATCGAAACAATAATTATATCATTGTATAAAAAATGAGATAAATTATTCTGTGAAAACTGCAGAGACACTTCATGATTAAACGCAGCTTATACAATTTTTCCAAAAATTTAAGTGAACTGAAAATTTCCGCTTGTGAAAGGAAACTTGGAAGGTACTAATGTGGTTTTAGAAAAATAAGTTGGTAATAGAGTAGCTGTCAAACATTTAACAAATAATAGAAAAAAAATTACGAATACGAATACAGACAGATTTGGTAGCTTTTTGTTGAATTCAAAAAAAACTGTGATAGTGTACACCGAGAGAGCCTCTTTAATATTATGGAGGAATTTTGAATACCGATGATTAGCTTAACCAATACACAATATTGAAGAAAATCAAAGAATACATTGTCAAAAACTTTATAAATACAATTCATATTGAAGGAAGGGGATGCACTGTTCTCTGTTGTTATCCAGCATGGCGCTGGAAAAAGTTAGAAGAAAAATATTAAAAGAGTCTACAGGTGTAATAATAGAAAACCAAAAAATTCCGGTACTTAAGTTTTCAGATTACTTTAACTATCTATTCTAAACTAACTGCTCGTTAATCGACAGTAAAAGAACATCAAATGCCTTAGAATATGCATCCAATAAAAAGAACTAAAAATCAACAGAGAAAAAGCAGAGAAAAAACGAAGATAATAAACTTGTTTATAAAACAATAATAATGTTAGATGACAACGACGATTATGAAGAATTAGCATTTGGAAATGTAAATAATAATAATAATTTAACTATAAATAATTATAACATAATTCACCCTAAATAAATTCATGAAATTAAAATATTTCTCAAAAATGGCACTAAAGATTGGACATTATGATTGAATATACGCAAACGATTCTTACTGACTTAGTTCATCCCTAAACTTGCATCATGCAGAATATTATAAAAGGGTTTACACCAGTATCCAATTTTATAAGTGGCCAACAAATTCAATGGCTTTGACATATTAGGCTCAGAAATCAGTAAAAGAAGTTTAGATCATTACTTGAATAAAAACTTACAAAAAAAGAGACTTCGTAAGAGATTTAGAAAAAGATGGRTGGATAAAATAGAAAAAAATCTCTATAAATTAGAAGTGTGAACATGGAAGACAGTAATCCAAAACAGAGTTAAGTGGAAAGAAATTTTGATGATAGTTCTCAGAAGGTTATAAAAGCCAACAGAATAGAATAAAAACAAATT